AATAATTGACCAATTCGTGGATTTCTGCGGCAAGCTTGTCATCTATTGTTGGGAGTTCCTTTGAGTGGACATGTTTTTTTAGAACAGGACACTGGTCGCCCTAGAATAAGGCTCTCCACGCTGAGGCAAGCCTGTCGATGGTGCAAAAGGAAATGAATCAGTCAGCTGAGGTCTAATGTGCAGTACTCGGGCAGTTCGATCAAACGGAATGTACATGGGTATACGATATCAAACAGACGGCGAGAGCATTTGGGAAAACGAAGCGATCTTTGTGACTGGTGAGATGAGTGGTGATTGACAATATGATCTCTGTCGGGAGTGCGTCAAGTCGTTGCAGGGGCATTATGGAAGTTCACAGTAGCCCTTCGATATATAATTTGGGCCGTGGGATGTTATTTTGGATTCGTATGTTGTTGCAAGCCCAGCATGGAGCTACCCGTATCTCTCAAGTCCATCTGGCGGCGGTTGTGCGCTGTACCTCGTATTATGTCCCTGCACTGCCTCGTTATCCCGACCGCCTAGTACCTTGTAGAGACATTAATTATCATGTTGAACCATTTTTAGATGGTGTCTTCTCCTCGCAGTAGGTTATATCGATTTGTCCTCTGTCATAGCAGGAGCACGGCACTGCTCTAGGAAAGTCGACTTAGCGATGCTGGTTAACTCACCACCGCCAGTCATAGCCGGAGCGTACAGAAATTCGAATGTCACTAAGCAGTGTCTTTGCAAATGACATAGGGATCTTTAGGTGCGTCATCAGTTGTTGCTGGATACCCTGCTCGGAAAGTTGCCTAGAACTACTCCCTGAGATTAAAATGTGTTGATATTGTCCATGAGACGAGACTGCAGCGGATCCTTCGCTCTATTTAGCACTCAATACAGACCTTATGATATGCTATAGAGGTTGTTATGAAGATTAGTATTCCGATATCTGTTGTTGGTGACTCAAGAGAATGGCAGGGAATAGTGATTGACCTCTCCCAATTTCTCTCAGCAGATCTACGGACTAAAGTTCATCGAAAAATACTAGAAAATCCGGACCTGCATTTATTCCCCTACATCATAGGGCATTCCTGTTCCTGACTAAGACCAATAGAGCGAATGTATAGATTCACCCCTTGCATAACTATCGAATTCCACACTCCCGGGTGGGGGCGGTGGCTGAACGCTTGAATAATCAAACAATATTAACAAATAGATCAATATATATGAAAAAAGCATATGTATAATCAGAAAGGAAAAATGAGTCAAGGTCAAACACTAGGCCAGTCGTTCTCCCACTTCAACTGGTTCCATCCAAACTGGTAGTCCTCGACGGCCTTGCCGATGCGCGTGTCCGCATAGTGATAGTACAAGACAAACCCCTTGCTTGAGTCCTTGAGGATGCCCCTGCGCCCAGACGTTAGTTCATTCTTTACCTTTCATTAAGGGTGACTTACTGTCCGCCGGGACCGTAGACAAAACCATGGCTGGCAAGCAAAAGGGTTCCTCCGCTGTTCAGGCACGAAACACCGTTCTTGTCGACCTACTCATTATCAGCCTCTGATATAAAAGACGAATGTGGGGTGCTGCGACTTACGAATCCTCCCGTTGCCGAAGTCGACCGACAAACCGAGATGAAGTACTCCTCACCCGGAGCCGGCCATGTATCATTGTATCCCAGCGCAATCCCCCCGGAGAAAGTCAAGTAGAAGTAATCGTTGCGCTCAAACATAAAGGCCGCCTCCTGGCGATGGATCCCGCTGGCATTGTAGGCGATCTGGTGCGGCGTGGCGCCGCTCTTCACTTTGAGGCCGTTGGTCATCTCCACCTGGAACAGGTTGTTCCAGTAGGAGCCGAAATTAGCGTACTGGGTGCCGCCGACGGCGATCCAGTTGGCGTCGATGGCGTTGTACGGGCTAGCGGGCGTGGACTCGATGCCGGTGGTGCCGTGGTCGGTCCAGCTGCCCGCTTCCATGGTCTTGGAGGTCGCAACTCCAATGGCTGAGTTTTGCGAGCCGAGCGAGGAAACCGCGTAGTAGAGGTAGTATGTCCCATCTCGGTAGTGCAGGTCGGGGGCCTGGGATGTTAGGAGACATGACAGAGGTAAAGGAAAAGGGAGCATACCCAGAGGTTGTTCTTCCCGTTTAGGTCGATGATGGAGCCGTTGGGTAGAACATAGCCGTCGTCCGTCCACGGGCCCTCGAGACTGTCCGCCGAGGCTATATGGATGCCTCCGCCCGTTGCGAAGCGAAAGTATTTCCCGTCGGATTTACGCTGGTACAGACCAGGATCATGGGTCCAGCAGTTGCCCGAGCAGGCACCGGGATCTGCGTAGGCGTTGACGTTGACGGACGCCAGGAAGAGGAGGATGAGAGTATATAGATACATGGCGAACCTTGGTTTGGAGCCTCTACTCGATACTGTATGATTATTGAATTCAAATGGTTGCACAGGAGCGAACAGCTCTATTTATGTCATTCCTGGCCCACTCGGTGCCAGAGGAATCTCTCGGAAATTACCCCATATTGCCAGCCTTTGGACTGAATGCAGCCATTGCAGCCCTCACGGCAACCTCCCGCAAGCCAAGATTTCCCTCATCCAGGCGACCCCTTTGTGCCGCAGATGACTGGGCGCAAAGTCGGAAAGATTGGAGCTGGCCATGCACAGTGGCCCAAAGCGTATCCTACGGCGGGCAATGTCGCGATTCAGCCCAATGATGAGCCTGCAGTCGCAACGCCAACGCGGGAGTGGAGAAATGCATCAAGTACTGGCATGGCTGATAGTAATCGAATGAAAGTCGAGGCGTTGGAAGGAAAAGTTGGAACTAAGTGCAATAATTCTTTGAGCCTTGCCTGGTGACCGCCGATCGCGATCTGGCCAAACCTAAGGACTAGGGAGACTTTTGGCCTACAGTACTGATATTGAATATTTAGTTGTTGATTCGTGTGACCTCAGACCGCCATTTTTTGTTCCTTTACCTGTCGGGGCGTTTACAGAACTAGTAATGCATCCCTTGCTTGCTACATGCATCCAGTCGAGTGCGTTGTCCGAGTGGATAAATCTTCCCAATCGGCCATTTCCGAATCATGAGGATCATTAGAATACTGTCCGTAGATAGATCAAACAGTCTCGCGAGTCATGGTTCATTTGCATCATAGCGGGACCAAGTGGGCCATGGGGATCGCGCAAATTGAAGTCAAGATGAGTAGATGACATATCTCCTCTGCAACTGGCAAATATCATTGGATAAAGATTAACTCCGCGGCATCCTCTTCGGCCTCTTATGGTGGCTTCAGCCATCCGTCGTTCTTAGCAGCTTGTAGGTTTGTCCCGCCAGAGTCTTACCATGGTCCATGCGATCAGATTACTCCGTTAGGACAATGCTGTAAATCTTCTTCAAGAGGCTCCATGGCACTCATCCTCAGGAAATAGACATCTATGAGCCGAATATGATGTATAGCAATCCTGTTATAGCCATGTGTCAGCAGATGTCTGCCTGACTCGTTCATCAAGTAGCCGGTAAAGATGTTGTGTTGTCGTCTGCACGCTACTGTCCTTGTCTTCCGTCACTCTGACTCAGATTGATCGACAAAGACAAGGATTCCATCCTGGTCCATCGATCGCATCGATCGAGTCTTTCTGGGGCCCCCCCGCCAGGATCCGGTTGACAGCGAAGATCCGTGGATCACATTGTACTCTCAACCTCTACTACTCGCACTTTTGTTCATTGTAATACAGTCTATGATATTGGAATACCTCGAGGATCGTTTTATGTACTTTCTGCGGTAAGAGCGCCCAAGACGGAAATGCGGGGTAACAGTCATCAATATTGGCCTTTAGTCTTGGGAGATAAGCCTTGTGATCTTCTTTAACGGCTTATTTCGAGTGATATCATCGCCTATTAGCCGATGGCATAATTCCTTTTTGGTATGAGCACATGCCAACTCATAGTGCAGGAGGAAATGCGGGGAAGCTGAATGATCTTCTTGGTACTCCAGCACATAGGAATCTGCTGACTGTCGTTCGGATATGAAGGTCATATGTAGTTAGAGCCATTCTAATAAGAAATTGACGGTTATCGGTCCAGTGGCTCATAGCCTCATAATCCTGTTCTTCCGCCATGGGTTGATATATACCGCTACAAATACAGATGTCGGAGTCCGCATATGTTTCTATAGATTCATCATGTGTCATCATTCTTCACACATTAAGCATATCTCCTCTGCACCGCGTGCATCGTACCTGAACTCGGCCCCTATCGGTTTCATTCCAGTCTGGAGCCTGTCCACTGGACATGCCCCTGACGCGTAAGCTATCGAGTTGCCCAATCCGACACGAATATCCTATGTCAGGGGAAGTACGACAGTGATGAAACCCCCGTCTTCGGCAGAGAGATCGCTCGTGTCATATATCGCTTGTAGTTGTACCAGGTGTTGAAGACTTGCTCAAGATAGGGCCGAGTATGTAGAGCGACAGGAAGGATGGCACTCAGAATTTGGCAATGTCCTTGAATCTTCGTACAAGAGTCAATATTCTATCCTTGATGGGATTCTATTAACAATATCGTCTCTCCTAAACATAGAATCAGAGAGGTGGAGCACAATTATCAGTTCTTCTGCTATCCCACAAGCCACGATAACCCAAAATCTATGAGAAATTCATATACAGGAGGCTCCCAAGCGATATACAGGTCCTTGAGAGCAATAGTTCTTTGTCAACGTAAGTCTCTGCAAAGAATGCGAAGCCTCCAAGGACACTGGGCTATAATAGCTGTTTTTCTGTCTTCATACCAGCTATCATAAGCAAGCCTAAAAGTTACACGAGCGCACCAATCACAAACGGTTACGCAGGCCGTATATGAGACAGCATCAGACTGGTTGATTATCGCAATAAGCATTTCTAAGCACGATAGAACGCATCGGACTTAACGCACTTAGGGTCTATCTCCATCGAAAGGATGTCTATAAAGCCAGCAAGTCCAGGAGAACGTCCTTTTCAACCACGTATAGCTAGGCACAATGGCAGCAACGAAAACTATAGTCCTCATTACTGGCGGTATGTTCATCAACTTGGACGAGAAGGCGAATCAGCTAACCACCACCAGCAAACAGCGGGATCGGTTTCGAACTTGCCGCCCAGCTAACAGCCAAAGACTCCTACCATGTCCTCATGGGAGTCCGTTCCATGCAAAAAGGCAACGCAGCTCTGGCCCAGCTACAATCCCACAATCTACATCTACCAGGCACCCCGGAACTGCTCCATCTGGATGTCACCGACAATGAGACTATCCACCGCGCCGCAGAGACGGTTGAACAAAACACGGGAGAATCGACATCCTCGTCAACAACGCCGCCATAGTATCTACAGCTCCAACCCTTCGGCGGAAGTTACAAGACGAATTCAATACCAACGCGACTGGCCCGGCTGTCGTTACGGAGTCCTTTGCCCCGCTGCTGCGAAAGTCCACGGCCTCCCCGCGAATCATCAACATCTCCAGCGGCGCAGGCTCGATCTCCCGTCGCTTGGATCCGTCCTCGGTGTTGTACAAGGTGCCAGGCCTGCAGTATCGCGTGAGCAAGTCGGCGCTGAATATGATAACTGCGTGTCAGTGGGTAGAGTACGGCCCTGCTATCAAGGTCTTTGCGTATGACCCTGGCTTCACACAGTCGAATCTCAGCGAGAGAAACACGGCGGAGAATGGGGCTAAACCCGCTGCTGAGGCGGTGCGGCCGTTGATTGATGTGCTAGAGGGGAAGCGGGATGAGGAAGTTGGTCAGTTGTTGCATGATACGGGTGTTTATCCTTGGTAGTTGCCAATAGAACACAAGCTGGTACTTCCCTTCATACCCGAGTAGAAGCATCGCGCCAATCCCTAGGCTAAATTGTTCGTGACTACAATGAATGTATGACCTCGATAACAGAAGGCGGCCTGGCATCTCTGTCCCTCGCCCAATATCCCTGCGGTATCCATCCGTTTGCCGCTGCGTCTCGCCATCAGGAAGGTGCAGAGCCACATGGGTCATAGCTGTGCTATTCTGAAACTTTCCAAAGCGCTGTTTCCGCACGAGTCAATAGACAGTCAACACCTGAGATACGACATCAGTCATCGATGATGTGCCGGCCAGGGCGACAGCAGCATTCAATGCCTGGTTATCAATTTCTCGGTGTTCTACTCGGCTATCGAAGAGTTTGACCACCGCTAGAAGCACTAGTGGTCTATCAAGAGTGATAGGCAAGTGTCATCATATTCTTGAGAACTATTTCTCCCTGATCAACCAAGGTATTCAACGCTTGATACACCAACACCAAAACCAAGCCAGATATCTCATTTAGAATCACAAGGAACAGCCGACGTTAGATCAAACAACGTCCAAAGCAAAATATGACAACAAATCAGAAGCTAGGTATCCCACCATAATCACAAGCAATCAACACCACTGCCACGGAATCCAGTACTTTGGATCGACTTCATGTCGCCACTCATGGTATTGAAGCGCTTCATCTCCCAGCTTGTCCCTCTCCTCTGCAGAGAGACACCAGATCTGCCGAGCAAGCGCATTAAATGCCTTCAGCGTCGATATCTGACGCAGTTGGTCGAGGACCATTCCTCTCTTCTTTTCCGGGTTTTCTACACAGAAGTGATTGAGTAAATTGTGCAGCTCGAGTCTTGGATTTGCCTCGATATCGAGGGTCTCGACACCCTCATCGCGCAGGTAGTGGTTGAGAAGATCGATGCATTGCTTCTGGGACGTGCAGAGGACCTCGAACTGGACCCGCCTCCGTATAGTGAAATCGAGATCTTCGACGTTCAGAGCTTGTTCCATGACGTGGACCAGCTCGTGGTTGTTTAGCTTCTCGATCATTTTTTGGATAATGTCTAGCTTCAAGAATTGTTCCACACTAAGGTACATGAGCGCTCTCCACCTCTTGTCTGTTTGGTAGGGGTCGCTACTGGAAGGCGTGCGTGTTGCTTGTGAAGTATGAGTGTTGATCTGGGACTCCTGCGTACAGTTCTTGGTAAATTCGGTATTTTCTTCAGCCAGCGAGTCAGCTGTAGTGTTAGTGTGTGCTTGGTAGTTATATGATGAATGTACATACCGGCCAACTCATTGCTGTTATCACCATTCGAAGAATCAGAACAATCGGGAGTCCAATTCTCTGTGCCTGTGCCGCTTTCTGAGTCCCACTTCGATCTGCTTAACGGTTTACGAGATTTGGGGGATGTGGATCGACGCTCCATGACGCTTTTCGCGATTTTCTGGTTGGAAATTAGTAGTCGTACTTCGTAGACAGCTCTTCTCCTGTACTGAAGGAATTTGATATATACGAAGATAAAGAGATGAAAAGATTAGTGAGAAGGGATAGTCATAGACAGCTGTGATATGCCGGTCATTATGACATGGTGGTGAGTACCATATAACCTATGCTTCACCAGCACATTACTTTAACATTACATGAACACCAAACCATAGAATATCCGTATCGTATCTTGCACATTATACACGATACCTACTAAGGCATGTTATTTGGCTTATATACTAAATAGCTCTGTCGATGGACAGATAGCGATCAGTTTTATATGTAGTCATAGATAGGGCATCATGCCTGAGTGAGACCGGAACTGATTTCGTTCTACACACACGGTCAACAAACTCTTGTAATCTTAATAGACTTATAGACCATGGATGCACGCTATCACCAGCTAAGGGCAGGAATGCCATATGCAGCAGGCTAATCTATAAGCTATACATACAGGCTAAACATTGCAATTGACATTCCATTCAATCCATTAAAACAACTACAGAGAATATGAAGACACTATATGAAGAATATAAACCCGTAGGTTAGTGTCTAGGGCTGAAATCAGGTCACCAGTCCTTCACAAGCAGGAAATACAGCCTTATTCCAAGGCTTGCTATTCCTTTGTCTCCATTCTGTGAATAATAACGACGGGGGAAATCATATAGATTCAATGTCCAGCGCGTAATTTATCATGAATTTGATAAACATGAAGTGCAATGCGTCTCTGCAGTCCAGTCCTCAAGACCAAAACGGAAGGTGATTTGTGAATGTAGTCACTGTGTAGACCTAAACGCAGACGCATAACCCCTCAACAGCTTCAATGGTGACAAATCCATCGAATCAATGAGTCAAGCCGGCTAAAAAGTGCGGGTAATCCACCGCCGATTATCCAGTTGTATCTGACTGGTCGACCGTGGTTGATTCGAGTGGGGTAATCCCGGGTATCATCCATCTTTAAAGACACTACGTGGCTGGCAATGAGTGATGCTATACAGACAATCTTCATCAACATCAAGACCTTTGACTATAACCTGACCGAGATATTGAAGAAGTCATGCCTCTCACTGAAGAGCAAAAGCAGCACTGGCTGGAACACGGCTTCATCAAGATCCCTCAGTGTTTCACCAAGCAAGATGCCGACAACTGGACAGCCTCCATCTGGGCTCGCCTGGGCATCTCACCGACGGACAAGTCCACTTGGAATAGTGAAAGAGTCAACATGCCCGGTCACACAGTTGTCGACGTGAAGGACTTTGCACCCAAGGCATGGGATGCGATCTGTGAGCTCGTCGGCGGGGAAGAGCGGGTAACGGATTGGTGCAAGGGCTGGCGAGACTCGTGGATCATCAACCTCGGGAGACCAGAATACAAGCCTGATGATCCGTTGGACTTCCGCACGTTAGACAACTGGCATAATGATGGAGACTGGTTCACGCATTTCCTGGATAGCGGCGAGCAAGCGCTCTTGGTGATCCCCTTATTCAGCGATATCAGGCCCAGGGGAGGCGGAACTGTTCTATGCACTGATGGAATTGGTCTTGTAGCTAAGCATCTGGTAAGTTTCATTCCTCGTGAAAAGGAATTAGACTGACAATATCAGTATAACCACCCCGAAGGCACATGGCCATCACTCGCATCCCGCTCGGGTCCAAACCCTCCACCTCCAGAGGGAGGCAAGCAGTGGAGAGACTGGGTGCGAGATCCTCAACTCACACGGGCTGAGTCCTTCCACGAAGCCACCGGACAAGCAGGCGACGTCTACCTCCTCCACCCGTTCATGTTGCATTCTGCCTCGCGCAATCTCCTGCGTGAAGTCCGCATCATTACCAACCCACCCGTGTCGCTTAAGGAGCCCTTCAACTATAACCGACCCGACGGCAAATACAGTCTTGTAGAGCAGAAGACTCTGAAGGACCTCGGGCGGCCCGAGGGCTTGCCGGAGTGGAAGATCACAAGGGATAGGGAGATGCTTACTCCCGCGCGGGTGCAGGTTAGTCCATTTCCATGTCTTGCTTCGGTTTTAAATCTGACAGTGTTGCAGATACAGGAAGACATGCGCCAGAAGGAGTTGGAACGATTGAAACAAGCGGGATCTTCTGTCACGAAGCTGGGAACTGCCAAGCCTCTCGAGTCGCACTATCCATCATGATGAACTGTTATTCGGAGCTTTTCCGTACAAATACTCTGACGGCCGCTGAAGATACTTGAAAGTCAGGCATAATGTGCTGAACGCTCAGTCTCGCTTCTTGTTTCAAGATTAAGGCATTACAGGGACGCCATAATTTGTACCGACATTGCAGAGGAAATATACGCTCATTAGTTACTGCCATTTAGGGTAGTGTGGGTTCTATTATGGTCATGTTAGTGTAGGAGAAGGTGTAAAGGTTTCTCCCTTTAAGACTCGACAATAGATGCATAAAACCTGGGCAGTTCCTTTGCGTAGATTATATTACAGCTTATTCTAATTCCCAGAGATATACCTAGAAGAAAAAGATCAAAGGGGTATAACGACGGAAATTAATTATGTTCTGCAGCATGTATTCCTTCTAGCTAGCAGCCTTAATAATGCACCTTGGCTGCCTCCACTATAGTGACTGTATTGTGCCAATGTCAATAATTCAATTACTTTAATTTATTATTCAACATCCAATATATTCCTATGATTGCCACCTTCCACCATCATGGTTAATTAAAGAAAGTTTCCGTATTCATCCGTGATGAAGCTATTCGGAGTTCAATTTCCGTATCAGGAACAGCAGGTGGGGTTTCTCCATGGTTCACTGACTTTGGTTGAAACCCCTAAATCAAAGTCTTAGCCTAATCCAAAACAGCCGAAATCACCGTGGTTTTTTCTGCATAATGTCTGCGGGGAAGCATGCCGGTGCCTGGCGGCTGCGAGGTGAAAAGCCGAACAAAAAGAGTCCTTAGCGAGCAGCTACCAATCAGGATCAGGGAGCTTGTTGCATGTTGCAGGTCTAAAGAAGTCAATCCGGCATGGAGATGCGGGGTATAATGATCAAATTGACGAACTGACAAAAGAAGAGGGACAAGAGTCGGATCGGCGGGCCGTAGGAGCTTGACCAAGTCAAGCCAGTCTAATTACTGATGGTTCCTAGCCATCAAGATGAAACATGGAGGCGCCTATCACATACCTTAATCTACAATTCATGAACGCATTCACAATGGCCGCGTTGTGAATACTCCCATTCGGAGATTCACCCTGCGAATGGCGCTTCTCCAGCATCCCTTTAGGAGAATTTCTCCGTCTAGTCGGTGATTCTCCTGGCTCAGGGTATAAATACGGCTTGAAGAACAATCGATCTCCCCATATCTAGCCTTCAGACTTCTCAAACCAACATGGACTCCAAAAGAGGCATTGTGGCCGCTGTGCTGGCCTTGCTTTCTGTCGTTTCTGCGCAACAACCCGCCACAAGTTCTGCTGGTAACCCCAAGCTTACAACATACAAATGTACCACTGCCGGCGGCTGTGTTGCGCAAGATACATCTGTTGTTCTTGATTGGGGCTCCCACTGGATCCACACGGTCAATGGGTATACATCATGCACCACATCGTCCGGAGTCGACAGTACCCTGTGTCCTGATGAGGCCACCTGCGCGAAGAACTGTGTGATCGAGCCGGCCAACTACACCAGCGCCGGTGTGGCCACCTCGGGTGACTCTCTGACTATGTACCAATATGTTCAGAACAACGGCGTCTACACCAACGCCTCGCCTCGCCTCTACCTCCTCGGCCCAGACAAGGACTATGTCATGCTGAAGCTGCTAGGCCAGGAGCTCTCCTTCGACGTGGACCTGTCCACACTCCCCTGCGGCGAAAACGGTGCCCTGTATCTCTCCGAAATGAGCGCCAGCGGTGGTCGCAACGAATACAACACCGGAGGCGCCGAGTACGGCTCTGGCTACTGTGACGCGCAATGCCCCGTGATTGCCTGGAAGAACGGCACCCTCAACACGAGCGGCGCAAGCTACTGCTGCAACGAGATGGACATCCTCGAGGCCAACTCCCGCGCCAACTCGTACACCCCGCACCCCTGCAGCGCAACGGACTGTGACAAGGGCGGATGCGGCTTCAACCCATACGCTCTAGGCCAGAAGAGCTACTGGGGGCCCGGCGGCACCGTCGACACTTCTAAGCCCTTCACCATCACCACGCAGTTCATCACCAACGACGGCACCACCACCGGCACTTTGTCCGAAATCCGCAGACAGTACATCCAGAACGGCAAGGTGATCGCCAACGCCGTTTCCTCCGCTGGCGTCAGCTCCATTACCGAGGACTGGTGCACGTCCGTCGACAGCTCGGCCGCCACCTTTGGCGGACTGACCACCATGGGCAAGGCGCTGGGCCGCGGGATGGTCCTCATCTTCAGCATCTGGAACGATGCCAGCGGCTTCATGAACTGGCTCGACAGCGGCAATTCAGGCCCTTGCAGCAGCACCGAGGGGAACCCGGACCTGATCAAGGCGCAGAATCCCACGACCCACGTGGTCTTCTCTAATATCCGCTGGGGAGATATCGGATCGACTTTCAAGGGTTCTGATGACTCGGGTACGACGACCACTAAGACCACAACTACCAAGACGTCCACGTCCACCACGTCAACCAAGACTACCACTAGCACTGCGCCCGGGGCGACGCAAACTCACTATGGACAGTGCGGTGGACAGGGCTGGACTGGACCCACGGCTTGTGCATCGCCCTACACTTGCAAGGCTCAGAATCAGTGGTACTCACAGTGTCTGTAGTCGTTAGGTAGTTGCAGATTGCCACCTATATTATAGTTAGCAATCAAGAAGATTAGTGAATTCCTGCAAATTGTGCGTTTCGTAGAAGCTTTAAAGGATACGCTACTAAATATATATTTTTCCGCATGGCATCGGTGCAAAAGCACTGAATTTAAACGTGGCATGGGCAAGGTGACAACATAATCTTACTGTAGTTATTCTTTGGAAACATGACTAAATCAGCAGAGGAATTCAAAACTTCACATCTGATTTTATCTTGTGCAATTCCAGCATAACAACACGAATGTCATATTCAACTGAGGAAAATATAGCTGACTGATCTATCTCTAAATCTGCGGAGATGGACATCAACTGGTTCCATGGTCTAGTGGTTATGACTCCGGATTTTGACGCGTCTCAGTTTTCCGGCAACTCGGGTTCAATTCCCGATGGGACCTCTTTTTCTTTTCGTCCAACATCTTATATCAACTTCAATATTGATGTTTTTTTCTTTCTTTTTTTCTTTTTTGTTTTCCTTTCATCGTTTTGTTGGACCGTATAATAATAATAAAGACCGTATAATAGCGATGGAAACACTACCCTTACTGGACAGTTCGCAGACAGCTACTGTATGAAACGCTCAGATCAACATCTTGATTTAATCATTCATCAATAACTCTATAGGTCATAACCACTATAAAGCAATCAATCAGTTCTGCTTATCAGCAGCCACGGCCTCCAAATCCTCTGACCGGGCGTTATCATTCCCGACTCGCGCATCCAAGCCAGAGTACCCCCCTCTCCATTCAAGAGGTACATATACCAGTAGTACGTGCCTGCATCCGTCAGTCGCTGTGCACCCCCATGGGAGATGAGATATGGACCTACCAGCAAACAATCCGCCCCCAACAATATTCCCCAGCAGGGTGGGAATGACCCCCTTCCAGATATACAGCCCCACCGTGATCTCAGGCGCACCCAGCCAGATCCCCATCGGGATAAAAGTCATATTGGCGACGACGTGGTCGAAACCCAGCGAGACAAAGCCAAAGATTGGGAACCAGATGCCCACGAGCTTGGAGGCGAGATCCCGCCCCTGCATGGCTAGGAAGCAGGCCAGACTGACTAGCCAGTTGCAGCTGATGCCGCGGAGGAAGATATGGTGGAAGTCCGGGGTGACTTGTTTCTTGGTAGCGAAGGCGATGACTTCGGATTTGTAGGGGTCCGCGGCGAAGACGTTGCCATCTGCGCAGAGGTTGTCAGACTCAGAGATAGGAGTCAAGGATGGAAATGAAATGCTTACAGCCGAAGATGATGGCAACCATGAAGAGGGATCCAGCGAGGTTGCCCCAGAAGGTCACAAACCAGTGGAGCAGCATCTTGTACCAGGGGAGTTGGTGTTGGAGGGCAGCGACGGTGGTGTACTACACAGGTTAGGTATGTTGCAGAGTACCAGTGTGGACAAGCATACCAGGAAAGAACCAGTACAGAGGTCCGCTCCTGTCAAGATGATCATAGACAACCCATAAGGGAAGACCAGGGAGGATATCATGCGAATCAAGCCGGGCGCATTCTCTTGGAACGATGCAGTTGTACTTGTAATCAGGAGCGTTCCACACGCAAAGGCAAGCAGACAGCCGGCAAAAAAGGCACTGAAAAAGACCTTGTCAAGGCGCATATTGCCCTTGGCTACTCCGGCACGGGCCACGAGCTGCGCAACATCGACTGGAGCGTAGGCGTCCATGCTGACAGTCGACATGATGGTACAGCCTGCCTTGACGCAATTCTATTTACCCAGACCGCTTCTGGTTCTTGAATTCGTGGTTTGTTAGCCTGACGACGAGGGAAAAAAAGGAAAGGGATGGTTGATATATGCATGCCCCTGTTTCTTATCTCAGATCGGCATCGGAATTCGAAATATGGGTCTGGAAGCATTATCTGGCATCCTTAGTTAGTCTGTAGTAAAGTAAGACAGTATGCTTAAGCAGGCTAAGCTACACAAACTTCCTCCACCTGCGGCCCCTACTAACGAGCCGTGATCCACCACGACCCAGAATTTCAGATTTCTGGATTGGCCGGCAACGAGATCAGCCCTTGTCCGAGTCCGACTCCGACTGGACGCTGCATCGGTCCCCCATCGGGATGATAGGAAAACCTACAGCTTACTGCAGTTGGCAATTGATCAGCGGCTAGTGCAGCCGGATGGGGCTTATGCCTACCGAACAATGGTCTGCTAGGAGAGATTTCAAAGTCACTTGGTAAACATATACAACTTAGAAAGTCAAAGGGGTTCTGATTCTCCTTAACTAATTGGCTGTATGATGTATCTATGGTCTTATATACTACTACCGTATGGGGTAAACATGAGGCATCTCATGGTTGCATTGGCAGATCAGACGGCAGGTTTCAGATCTCAGGGTTCAGGGCCTCGGGCCTCAGGGGCTCCACCTACTAGCCCAGATAGCGGGGCGGAAAATAGGTGGAATGAGAAAGGAGAGAAAGGAAGGTCAAAGCGAATCACCTATGGGTAGCCGTACATTATCAACAAGAGGACTCTGAGGACTCAAACCCATAGACTGGCAAACCTCTATGACTCGAGATCTTGGGTCAACCTTAACTCGACATCACCCTAGATCTGCCGTTGATCTGATCTATACTCCGTACAAGCCCATGGTTTTGCTTTTGGTGGACACTGCGTAACAAAAGCTTATTCGAGAGAAGCATTGCCAAGTTGGACACAATACCAATAATGCCCCTATCATACACCGTTGCTAGCAACAACTTCTCTTTGTCATTGGACTACGGAGTAATCATGAACCAATGATGATCCAAAGCTTAGGATCGTGGACGATGAACTAGGTACTAGCTGAAGGCCTATATGTGGCTTGACCTGCAATGACAAATGGCTTATTGTCATTGCTTGCAGGTTATCATTAGGACTGAGCCCTGCTTAAGTGTTCTATGTTCTAGCTAGGTAGCCTGAATTCTCTAACTCTCATGGTTACTTAGGTGCATCAAGTAAGGAGTGTTAGTATAACCAGCAACTCAAATCTTATATAAGCTCCCCAGAAGCCTCTTTTGATCACTCTCGTACATTTTGACCTTCAAACTGTCCGCCCTTTGGTTGATATCCCTGTCCGAGACTCCTTCGTTCCTCTCTTCGCGGTACAGAAACAGCAAAGGCAAAGGGTCATTCCGCCACTTGGGAGCTCCGGCCCTCCGCGTCTTCCATACGGTACCAACCAGCGTTATCACTCCAAGCAACCACACCAGAACCGGCAAGACAATCCACTGCCATTGAACAGCGACATAGGTCATGCTTCTCATCACACGTCCAGCAGCCATTTGCGCCTTGCTGGGATCCGAACCCGCACTGATGTACGCCGAATCACGGAAACTCTTCGAGATGGCAGCTGCCACGTTGTGCATGCTGCAGTTGAACTTGTCTACGGCGTCGAGACTGCAGCCGCTGACGTTGCCCGTTGCCAGGGCTTCAATGACATCCGATCCTGCATAATCCATTCTGGAAGGCGCGTAATAGGACGCGAAGAGGTCTTGAATAAAAGCGCCGTTGAAGGTACTTTTCAAAAAGTCGTCAATCGCGGCGCCGGCTATGACATCAATCGAAAAGTTCTGGGTCGGGGAGGCTCCCAACTCTGGGCCCCAGTTGGGCTTGAAAATGCGCCCGTCTGTGAGATTGCTTTGTGCCCAGGTAGCGAGGACATCCTCGCTGTAGATATTGTCCTCCACGCGAGCCCGGATGCTCTGCACTATTGGCTCGATGGAACACTCGATTGCTTCCCATTTAGTGTCGAGGTCAATCTTCGGTATTGTTCCTCCTCTTTCGCTTGTGATGCCTCTCGCTGCGATGAACTGGATCGGACTAAATGTGGCATTTTTGTATACCAGAGCTGAAGTCACGGCCGGGTTTACTGCGAGTGGACGACGCATCACTGTGTTCGGAACAAACCATACCGTTGTGCTGCTATTTGCAAGCGTTAATGAGCAGTTCCATGTCCCACGATAACCATGTGTGACATTTTGGCATGAGGAAATGAGATGGTCAGTAACATTGGCGCAGACCGCACGAGCTCCCAACGATGCCACTGGGTCCCAGGTGCAGTTACTCGAGCTACAGAGGTACTGAGGAATGGTCCATGGCTTGCTCTGATCCGCATTGAAGAGCGAGCTGTACACATTTGCTTTGAGTACGGGATCGACTCTGCTAGCTGCGTACTGTCAGCTATGGATATTGACAAGGGACCGATTGCCTCACCACCGCGACCAAGCAAGCCGGCAGTGTCATATCTGGTGCTGTTTGCCAGGAAGGCCTTTTGCGAGGGATCCGCCACCAAGTTTGGGTAGTAATGAACCAGATTCTGGACGAAGGGATCGAAGGCGAGTGCCAGGATGATAGCCAGACTACCCCAGACGGCAAAATGCCTGATAATGGTTAGCAAGGGGCGAGCACAACCGCAGATTCTATTTACCTGGCTTTTAGTATCCAAATGAGCACGGCGCTCCCGTAGAAACCGCGACTGGCCGTGTCAAACGACTGGAGATCCACCATGCGCTGCTGCCTTTGTCCGAACCACACCCACTTCAGCTGTCCGATGCATTCATTGATCGAGAACAAAACACAGGCTTTCGAAATGGTACTCAACCAGGAAATGACCGAGTTGAGTGACAGCAGTCTCCAGGCAGGCTGGGGCTTGTGATCAAAATGGATGAGCATGGCGACCATAGCACCGAGGGTACCTGCTGAGACCAGCACTGCCAGCACCTCCCAGACATACCAGTCCGAGATTAATGTCTCTACGGTCTTTTGAGGCTGTTCCTTCTCGTCTTGTACCGCAGGGGATGGACTGGGATCTCTTCCAGTCCCGTGACTTCGCTGTGACCGTGCATCCGCGTCCAGTTGTTCGTATGAACGTAAACTGGAACACGACCAAGTTTTCCCATATTGCGTACGAATTTGCTGCCATGATTGTTCTTCTTGTGATGGCATTCTGGATAATCAGTGCTTGCCTGGCGTAATGAAGAAACTGACCTATTCCTCTCCGCCCCGAGCGACTATCTTTATAAATAGAATCTCACTATGTACATTGGACAGTAACCAGTTAAAGGACTAATGCTACGTTGGCAGTGCTTTTGCAAGGGTCTCCTGCACGTCTCTCTAGCCTTATACACAGCCTGCCAGAAATGACATTTAATAGGCAGATTTCAATATTGACTAACCACATAATGCAAATGCACCCAGCAGAAGGGTGCACATCCCCCTCTAGCCTTATGCGCAGCCGGCTAGAGATGGTATTTGATAGGTAGATCAATCAGATTTATTCAATACTGGCCAGTCAAATGTTGCGAAACGGGCCCAGGCTCCCAAGGAGAAGCCCTGCGCTAACTAAAGGTTAGTTTCCGACCAACTTCATCCAATTGTCGAATCCTCCGTTGCAAAGGGAAGGAAATAACACAGCCACTTGCGCCAGGATGACTCTGGATTCACTTAATGGTCGATTGTTCCTTTCTGGTCATGATAGAAATAGCCCGGTTCGCCAACATCAGTTCCCTTCCACACTAAGTTCACCTAGGTCTCATCGGCTATGACCCTGTTATAAAAGGCAATACTTAAGCATGAGTTAACCATGCATAGAATTTATTCAGTAGGCGTTCACATCTAGTCTTTTCTTATGAGTAAGAAGACTAAATATACATGAATCGAGACTGACGGTCACTCGACGCCTGCTCATAGTATATAGTCAGTGGGAAGAACCACGGCTCAAGTATAACATTGGATGACTCACTTTAGATCATAGTAGCACTTAATTATCTCATTCAACTCACTTACAGCTCAATATCCGCGAATTGATGGTGTTCTATCATTATTAACGTAACCCACGGCCGAGCCGCGAATACGACCGAACCGCGAATTTTTTATTGCCCCCGCTGCTCTCCCAAATCAACATTCTCAACGCGTCATTTTTTTATTATCTCCATACAAAATGCCTTTATCTAAGGAAGCCCGTCTACAAATGGCAATTACTGCTTGGAAAGAGAAGAAAGTTAAATCAAAATTGAAAGCTGCCCAGATATATGGTGTACCTGAAACTACCCTTCGCGAACGGCTTGCTGGCATCAAACCACGATCAGAAACACGTGCTAACGGCCATAAATTAACTACTATTGAAGAAGAATCCCTTGTTAAGATACTGCTAGATGCAGATAAACGAGGCTTTTCAATTCGCCCAGAGTTCCTGCGTGGAATGGCGCAGATTCTACTTCGCAAGCGCACACAGGACCCTACTGCAGTCCTTGGTATCAACTGGTCTTATTCCTTCACTAGAAGACGCCCTGAACTACATACAAGATATAATCGGAGGATTACATACCAGCGTGCAAAGCAGGAGGATCCTAAGGTCATAAAACAGTGGTTTGAGACTGTCCGTGAAGTTATCCAGGAGCATGGCATACATAAAGATGATATCTGGAACTTTGATGAGACTGGCTTTGCAATGGGGCTCAGTACTACTTCAAAGGTTATTACATCAGTGGAACGCAGTGAGAGACCTCGCAGAGTTATCCAGGGAAACCGCGAATGGGTTACAATCATTGAATGTGTGGGCTCAAAAGGGATCTCTATCCCACCAGCAGTTATCCTAAAAGGGAAGGAACACCCAGCTGCTTGGTATCAAGAACTTAATCTTCCTCCAGACTGGAGGCTTACCAATAGCACCAATGGCTGGACAACAGATGAGATTGGCCTTAAGTGGCTGAAGCACATATTCGACCCCTTTTCAAGACGATATTCAACTGGTGCAAAAAGGCTACTTATTCTGGATGGCCATTCAAGCCATCTATCTGCTGAATTTGATGATTTTTGCAAAGGGAATGCAATTATCTGTCTCTGTATGCCTGCGCATACATCTCATCTTCTCCAACCCCTAGATGTTGGGGTTTTTGGGCCTCTTAAGCGCGCATATGGGAAAGTAGTTGAGGAGATGATGATGGCTGGAAACAACCATATTGATAAAGAGGATTTCTTATATCTATACCCTCCTGCACGTGAAGCAGTCTTTACTCAACAGAATATATGCAATGGCTTCGCAGGAGCTGGTCTTAATCCACTTGATATAGACCAGGTCCTTGCTAAGATTACCTTTCAACTCCGTACGCCAACACCACCTCTTATTGATATTGAAGGGTCAATATCTTCTGCTTTTCAGACACCCCAGAATGCTCGCCAGCTTGATAAAAAGGTCCGCAGTCTACAGAAAAGTCTTCAGAAGAAAAGGACACTTTCTAGCAGTCTAATATCACATATTCAGCATCTTGAAAAGGCTGCGCAGATGGCAATGAATGCAAACCTTCTTCTACAACAAGAAATCAAGGTTCTACGGGCTGAGAATGAGCGGAAAATGAAGAAGAAGGCAAGGAAGCGTATTAATCTAGGGAATAACCTCTTTATATCTGTGCAGGAAGGTCGTGACCGTATTCAGCAGGTTGATGAGCAGGTTGATGAGCCTATACCTATATCTCGTCAGCGCGCTCCGCCAACCTGTAGTGGATGTTGGACTATTGGACATACTAGAAGAAGTTGCCCTAATAAATAGCCATATATTCAGCTAGTAGATAGTCTAATTAATGACGTTGGTGGTTGAAAAGCTTCAAAGATAGGATGATTTGCGGCAAAAATTCGCGGTTCGGTCGTATTCGCGGCTCGGCCGTGGGTTACGTTATTGAAGGTATAGATATGCACTGTCTGCAGTGCACATGCTTACCTAAGCTAGTTGGGCATAATTTTGTTCCAGTAACACTAACAACACAACACAACACTGTCCATTTACAACTCTCCCATCTACAGATCCCAAAGGCATCATCCACTGCACTGATTACTTATCTACACTCACCATGGACAACCTGTCCTTGGCTGTGGTGACCCTCATCCTCATCGCAGGATCTGCTCTCATTCTCCGCATCAGACATGACCCGCGCGAACCCCCTGTAGTCCACAACGGCATCCCATTCATCGGCCATATGATCGGCTTCATTCGCCATGGAATCGACTACTACGCGTTGCAGAGGTATGCGGCGTCCCCCGTACTACAAGCCCCATCTAACAGACCAGCGCAAAACACGGCCTCGAAGCCTTCACCATGGACGTGCTCTTCACCAAAATCTATGTCATCACCACTCCCAATCTAGTCATTGCTGCCCGGCGCCATCACCGCACCATGTCCTTTGAGCCAGCCATTACCGGCGCGGCGCGGCGCGTGACCGGCCTGAAAGGACGCGGGTTTGAGCTCCTCAGCGAGAAGCGCTCCGGGGGCGAGAACCTGCACGGGGAGGTCGTGAACGCGATGCGGCCGGCTCTCGAGGGAGCGGGACTGGACGGGATGAACGAAAAGGTGATTGGTTACTTGCTCCGGAGTGTTGACGACTTGCCGACCGCTGCGCCGTTTGACTTCCATGCATGGTGTCGCTCGGCACTCACCGTCTCCAGTACGGATGCGGTGTATGGGCCGCTGAACCCGTACCGGTCCAAGGAGCTGCAGGATGCGTTTTGGTATGTTTTCAGGCTGATTTGTGACTAAAGCTAACTGGGTAGGGACTTTGAGGAGAATCTCGCGCTGCTGCTGATGGACGTCGTGCAGAAGGTCACGGCGCGCAAGGCATGGAAGGCACGGCAGCGGCTCGTCGCGGCGTTTCTCGACTATTACCGTGCTGGCGGGCATCTCGACTCGTCGCAGTTGACGTATGCGCGGTGGGAGACGCAGCAGAAAGGTGGTGCCACGCTGGAGGATATTGCCCGCCTGGAGACGGCTGCTGCATTGGGGACCTTGTCGAACACAGTTCCGGCGATGTTCTGGTTCATGTTTGACATCTTCTCGCGTCCGGAGTTGCTGGAGGAAGTGCGGGACGAAGTTGCTCAGCGTGCAGTTCAGGTCGATGCGCAGGGCGTGCATACCGTTGACCTCGCGGAGATCAAGGAGAAGTGCCCTCTGCTGATGTCGGCGTTCCAGGAGACGCTACGGCTACGTTCTAATACCGTTCCTATACGGATTATCTTTGAGGACACGATCCTGGATGACCGGTATCTTCTGAAAAAAGGTGGAATCCTGCAGATGCCCGCACACGCGGTCAACCGCGACCGGAAAATCTGGGGCAGCGACGCGGACGAATACGACCCTCGCCGGTTTGTCAAAATCAACCAGTCTGACAGCCGCAAGAAAGCCAACGGGTTTCTGTCCTTTGGAACATCCCCGCACGTTTGTCCGGGCAGACACTTTGCCACGGGGGAGATCCTGGCTCTGATTGCCATGCTTGTGCTTCGATATGACATTGTCCCTCTCGGCGGCGTCTGGAAAGAGCCCAGGACCAACAAATCAGCAGTTACATCTTCGACAAGGCCTCCTGCGGAAGAATTCAAGGTTATTGCTACGGCCAGAAAGGAGTATGAAGGGGTTGAATGGGCGTTCCGTGTGACAGAGGGCAAGGGGAAGTACGGACTGATCATCGGGTAGTGGACTGTAATGAGCCATCGTTAACATGACAGCATCCTAGCAGCATGGATCATTCATGACAATCGAATATATTCCCAAAGAGGCTAGCGCTCGCATGTGATGCCGTCTAAATCTTGCGCTGCTTCCTGAATTCTGATCCAGTTCATATCACAGCAGCCATTCTTGATATTATCATCCAATAAGGGGTACTCCAGTGATTCTCTGTACAATAGGACCAGTCAACAAGATGGCCCGGACTCGACGATCAAGCAGGCGTCGCGTAGAATCCGTACACACCACAGAAACAAATGCTGCGTCTCCAATTCAACCAGTCCGCTTCATCACGCAAACCAGCTCAGATCACCTACAGCAAAACATCACCCTCATCCCCCCAGGGCAAATCCGTCTTCCGCATCTAAACACAAAAGAAACGACCCTCCTCCGCAAAAAGCAATCCCGCCTACGTGCATCAGCATCAACCACGAAAACAACCGCAGCAAACTACGGTCTACCCGCCTTGCAAGCTCTCTCCTCAACCCTCATCTTCGCACAGCATGAAGCAGGCACAGCAGTTTGCATCCACCCAGATGGCTGGCTCCTCACCTGCGCACACTGCTTCGGGGAGACGGAGGCCGAGTGGCGCTCCAACAGCCGGAAATGGCTCTTGTATTACACGGGCGAAGCCGTGCTCGTCGAGTGTATAGCCTGGGACGCGAGGTGCGACCTCGCTCTCGCTAGAATTACTGCGCTTGAATGCCTGCCCCTGCCTGGCTCCCAGAATTCAATCCCAAGCTTCACGTGCGTACCACTCGCACCACCATCCACTTCTCTCAAATCCGAGATCCTCTGCATCGGACAGCCGGGTTCTGATGACCTGGAATCATCCGGTCCGCGAAAAACAGGCTACGATCTTATTGAGATTTCTGAAGGTCGATTGCGCAGGTTGATGCCCGGTGCTGACCCGCATGACAACGAGGAGATTGGGGCGCTGAGGCACGATGCCTGGACGTACTGGGGTCATTCCGGGGCGCCTTTGTTACGGCGGACTGATGGTGTGTTACTGGGGTTGCATTCGTCGTGGGATGACACTACGGCTATGAGGCATGGGGTGCCGGTTGTTGCGGTTAGGGAGTTTCTCAGAAAGGAATTTCCTGGGGGTTGGGTAGAGGAGCAGGGTAATGGGGAGAAAAGAGAGGTGATTGTAATTGATTGATCATCATTTACTTCTGCATGGCATAGTTGAACCTGTTGGACAGCTTTATAGACAGCCATACTCGCATCGGGTAATATAGGAGTATAGAACCAAGCGGGCCAACTCCACATCCCAACATTTTCACCGAGGGCCCATCTATTCCCGTTGGACCAATCAGAAGAGGTCAAAAATCAATTAAAGTTGCCCGCGGACAGTCTGGTCTAACTTGATATAAACTGATCAATTTGTCTGCAGTCCGTGCAGTCGGAGCTCATAACCCCGGACGTACTTTTCTTCAATTTTTTTTTCCCCTGGCACTTGTCTTTCTGTTTCAGTCTCAACTGACAGAAGATGATTCAAGTTCCCAGCGCAACGGGCGACCCTGAACGGCTTCGCGCCGACGGCGAGCTATTCGACAAAGATGCCGCACTGGCGGTCGTCAGCGATGTAGCAATGGAGATCGACCCAGAAGTGGAGAAGCGCGTCCTGCGCAAGATCGATCTCTTCTTCATGCCGGCCATGCTGATCGGGTATGGCCTAGTATACTGGGACAAGGCGATTCTCGGCAGCGCGACATTGTTCGGCATGACGACCGACCTGCATTTAGTGGTCATCGACCAGAGCACGACGCCCCCGTCAAAAGACACGTCCCGGCTCAGCTGGGCGACGTCCATTTTCTATTTCGGTATGCTGGCCGGTCTCTACCCGATGACCTTTTTTGTGCAGCGCTTCAAAATCCAGCATGTCTTTGGGCCGATTGTCATGCTGTGGGCTGTCACCTGTGCTGCTACCGCGGGGGTCACAACCTGGCAGGGACTGTTCGCTCAGCGTTTCTTCTTAGGTAAGTTCACTCTAGCCAAAGAAGTGACAGGGTCTAACAAAGCAGGCTTCGTGGAAAGCGTGGTCCCCACCGGCTTCATGACCATCGTCAGCGGGTACTACACGCAAAAAGAGCAGTCCCTGCGCCAGGCATGGTGGTTCTCCGGCACAGGATGGTTCACCATCATCGGCGGCGCAATGAACTACGGCTTCGGACAGATCACCTCCGGCTCGCTGAAGCGCTGGCAGTACATCTACATCTTTGCCGGAGTGCTGACCTTCCTCTTTGGGATCTGGTGCTGCGCGATGCCCAACTCGCCTGTCTCGGCCTGGTTTCTTACACAGGAAGAGCGCGTTGTCGCCGTCGAGCGCCTCCGCAAGGGCCAGACAGGCGTGCGCTGTCAGAAGATCAAGTTCTCGCAGATCAAGGAGGCTGCGCTTGATGTCAAGATGTACCTAATCGCCATCATGATGGCTGCTGCGTAGGCCCCTTCCCCTACATTCCCCTCTGCAATGAAAGCTGATAATCGCAGCTACACAATCAACGGCGCAATCTCCGGCTTCGGCCCCCTCATCGTCTCCACCTTCGGCTACGACACCCTCGACTCGATTCTATTTCAATTCCCCGTCGGCGGGATCTGCGTCATTTTCATCCCGTTGTGCGGGTACATCGCCTCGCGCGTGCCCAACACCCGCATCCCCATGCTCATCGCCTGCTGCCTGCCCGTCATCGCCGGGTGCGCGCTCATCTGGAAGTCCACGTGGGGGTATCAGCCCGCCGCGCCGGTAGTCGGGTACGCGCTGACGGGGTTCTTCGGGCCGGTGGTCAGTCTGATCATCACGCTGGGGGCGAGTAATGTCGCGGGCGCGACCAAGAAGACCGTCATGGCGGCGACGGTGTTTGTGGCGTATACCGTTGGGAATATTATCGGGCCGCAGCTGGTCAAGACGCAGACTGTCCGGCAACATTATCCTGAGCTATGGACGGGGCTGATTATCTGCTACTGTGTTACGATTGTGGCGGCGGGGGTGCTGTACGCGGTGCTGTGGAGGGAGAATCGGCGGAGGGAGGCGATGGAGCTGGACGAGAGCCAGCGGGATAAGATGGCGTTTAATGATTTGACGGATAAGGAGAATCCGTTCTTTAGATATGTTTTGTAACATCATGTCCATTATGCTGCGACACAAGAATGAAGCTACTGAGGAGGGAGGTAGACACTCATCTCCACACCCCCCTTATACGGCAGCGTCAAAGTACTAAACCCGCTTCCAGGGGCACGCAGATACTCTAGCAGGTCTTTGTATCCCTCCGCCGAACTCACCGTGTTATCCGTCACCACAACAGCGCCATACCGCAGCTTGGGCTGGACCAGCTTCAGCGTGGGGAGCGCCATCGGCGTCCAGACTACATCATCAGTCACAGCCGCTTGTCACCTAGGTCAAAAGACTCACTATCAAGCAGAAGCATATCAACCCGATCAGGGAGGTTTGTCTTCAGAGTCTCCCGCAGGTCACCCTCACGGAGATCGATCACGCTACTGACTGCCTCTCCACACTCGGCCCAATGCTTGCGCGCCTGCTCTGCCTTGGCGGGCTCGTATTCCGTCGCGATAACAGTCCCTTTACTGGGGCCAGAGGCGGAGGCAAGGTTATCCGCCACAGCAAGAGCGAGGTAGATGGTACTCACGCCGTAGGAGGTGCCTGCTTCGACGATGGAGGTTGCGTTGAGGGTGCGGGCGAGCTGGTAGATGAAGTGGCACTTGTCTTGCTCGAGGGCGATGAATTTATCGCGCATGAGGGTGTGGAAGGTGTCTGTGGACGGGGTGGTGTAGGTTGTTCGCGGGATGGAGGATTCCTGGGTGGTTGATTCTGCGTGAAGGCGGTTTAGGAGGGAGAGGATGTGAGGAGGGTGGGATTGGAGGGGGTTGGACATTTTGATTGATCTGATGTTATTCAGCGGTGGAATGGAATGATATGGAGTGATGAGATCGATTGAGTTATCTAACTGATTGTATTTATATACAGAGTACAAGGAAGTGAGTGAGTCATTGTGGATAGACTAACTAATGCAGGAGGATACATGGGGATACGAAGAGTAAGACGGTCTCCACATTGTTGCTACGTGCTCTCGTATTCATCGACCTCTACTGCAATCAAAGGAAGAGTAGAAGACTTTGGATGCGGGTAATCTCATTTAGTCTGGAATAGTGCCTTGAATCGATACCATGCTGGTAGATGATCGCTTTGCAGCGGCAATCCAGAATCAAGAATGATGATCACCACATTCGATCATCAACACACGAGCAATAAGTCCCCCTGCCATTAGTCTTCTTAGGCGCAATGCACACTCCGCGATCGAACCGCCGTTGCTGGCACTATATACATCAGCCTCATCCACATAGTACACGGACATTAGCACAAACATGATGGTTACACTCTTGCGGATCATCCGGACAGCCATGGTGGCCACCTCCATGATGACTCCCGTCGTGGTGTCTGTGATGGCTCAAGCCGTTTGATAGTGCATCCGGGGAGAGGCTGGCGGCCAAAGGCACCAGGGCAAAAGTGGCTAGCAGCTTGATGAGGTTCATTCTGAAGGTGTTGACATTGCTAGCTGGATGAGATGAGGATTGAAGTATTTATTATGGCTGAGGGGTGGTCATCATGACATGTGTATGATGGAGATGCAGGCACTGTTAATGAGATCGCAATGACTGCCCAGTTTCGTTCTCATTACTTCTAAGCTTCTATGCAGCTCCTCCTAATTGATCTACCCATGCCGACTTCCCAGGCAACATCGTCTGCCTCTGCCCGAGAGCATCGTGCGGACAATGATCTTGTCTTCCATGACTTCCTATGGTAGATTGGGTGTGCATCGAGGACAAAAGTAACGGGAGATGAAAACGTCGAAATATGTCCTCGAGCTTGCTCCATGTGAGCTGTACTTGAAGAGGATGATGTGGGATTTGACAAAGTTGGTCAAGAATAAATCCAGTGCAGTGTCTATATATCATTTGAGGTGGAGAGGCAGTAAGTTTCGCAAGATTTTTGTCCAAATCATCTAGTATATGTAGAGAGGACGGCAGTTGTCAAACATGCATATTCGTCAAGAGCATTACTCCAAGGGTATTTATCTAATCATGAACCATCTTCTTCTGGCGGCGTCTCCTCCTTAGAGTCCGAGATCGCCAAACTATCCCACTTCTCCAAGAACCGATCCATCGACACGTCCCCCTCGCGCGCGGCCCCCTGCCGCACCACCGTCGCAAAGTTCGGATAGAAGGTACTAAACGTATGCCGATCCTTGCCCTCCCAGCTGCGCGTCTCAAAGTCCGTAAACAGGGCATCCGTCTCGGCAGGCAAGACGACCTGCATCTGGTTCGCCGAGAGTTGGATCATGCGCAGGATGCCCTTGGCCAGCGGGAAGCGGCGCGCAAACGCCCGCGCGACGATGCACAGCTCGATGAAGGCGGCGCGGTTGCGAGCGTCGGGCGAGTCCAGCGCCTCGAGGAGGGTGAACATGCCGATGCTGAGCCACTGGATGGTGGAGGGGGCCATGCGGCCGATGCCCCATTTGTCGCGGTGGACGCCGATGAGGCAGGCGATGCGAAGGGCGTTCTCGATGCAGATGTTGCGGGCGCGCTGGATGGTTTCGGGATCGAGGTGTTCGTTGTTGGCTTTCAGTAGGCCGAAGATTTGCATTACGGTTGTGTGGTAGAAGAGGCTGCAAATGGTCAGTGAGTGTAATCTTCGGCACGATTTGGGGACGGCTTACTGGAGACTGAGGGCATGAGGAACGGTGACGTTCTCAACCAAAAGACACTCGGGCATGTCTGCGTACCAGTTCTGCAATTTTTGGTAGATGTCATTGATGAAAGGGAGCATCTCGGCTCGAGGGATCCGGTCCTCCTCTTGATAAAACGCGCGGGAAATCTCAACAGTGATGCAGGCGATCGCGCACCACCGGTTGAACACGCAGGAGGTATGACTGGGGACACCGACGTCGGTCGAGCGCGGGTACGGTTGCCAGACATCGTCTTTATGTCGTTGATGGATGATCCGAGTAATGGGGGACTGCTGAGGAGGGTGGATATCGAAATGCTTCATCAGAGATACGGACGCCGTTCTGAACAGTCAGCCTCTTGAATAGCCACAAGAGTCGGTAAGCATACGAAGCCATGCTGAAAATGCCCCAAAGGGTCCTGTCAATCGCCCTTCTTTCTTCCGCGTCTTCCATCGCGTGAGGGGGATGAGACGCAGCATACTCTTGGGCTCCCCGGGCGGCCAGATCTAGATAGACCCATCCCATTCGATCTTTGCCCATCAACGATGTTCTGATAAATGTCAGAACGCGAGAGTCAACGTTTCGCATCCGACGAGCGGCTTACCGAACGAATAGGATCATGAGCCCCTGGATAGTGGGCAGGCTGGGAGAGTCGCCTTCGTCTTCTCCAGCCTCGAACAGACGACGGGCCTCGTCGAAGAATTGGTCGCCTCGAGTGAACATGTCGCCGGGAACTGTAAATACTTCTTCGTAGTCGGAGTAATACTATACACGAATCAGTAACGAAAACAAAAACCGTCATCCGTGCGAGTACACATACACATGCTTCCGCGAGAATGGCATTGACCAGGAAAGGTGAGCAGAACCGGGAATTCAGCTTTCCTTCCTGCATATGCTTGATCAAACAGTCGGCATCCAGCCAGTTAAACCAGGGATACGTCCATGTTAACCAAAGCGAGACCAGATGCGAGACCAGCTCGCTGTCGTCCGTCACCGCCGTCCAAGGCTTCGCGGGGACCTTGTACACCGGGTCGTCGGCCAGCCGATCGACTCGTAGGTACCGCCATCCCAGGGGCGCAATGTCCGTTGTCTGCGAGAGTTGGCTTTGGATATCGCGTAATTCAGGCGTCGATTCCAACTCGTAGTGGGAAAACTGCTGCTCCAGGAACAACTGGAGTTCGTCGAACGAGGCGTTACTTCGGATCAGATTCAACAGTTGCGAAACGCGTCTGCTCTCGCTGTCGCGCAGGGCGTTGACCAACCGAGTCAACGTGTCGGCTACTTTCTCCAGCTTCGCCACCTTGCGGTCCATGGCATTTTTCCGGCGCATATCGGACATTGCGTCAACCTCGCATTTGATGCCATGGGTGACGCAATGCTGACACGGAGGATCTCCACGACACTGTTACGGTAAGCTTGAGAGTTTCCACCTGGAAATAATGAATATGCAGAATGAGAAAAGTGACCGACTTTTAATTTCTTTCGTTTACACGCCTTGCAAGCGGTGGTTTTGTGCTTTCGCGCGGGCACCAACTCTTCGGATGAGGCATTCCGTTTCAGAAGGCGACCTGGAGCAGGGGCAAGAGGACGAGAGGATGACTGATAATGCGAGTCGGACATAAATCTCGCGTCAAAACAAGGGGCCAGGTAAGAGAACCGGTCGAGAGACGGCAAACGGCCGGCGGGTATTGGGGGAGAGGGTACTTCTGGGGGTTTTATAGGAAAGTTGGGTATGCCCTCATGTTTTAGATCTGACCTCAAACATGCATGCTCGAGAGCCAATGAAACAGCACAAGAACATACTGATATCCAAGGGATCACGGAGAATATGGGTACGTATGGATACCTATGGAGCATGGACTGTATTCTTTTCTGGTTGTTTTTGGGGCGTTCCAGACCTGGTCCGTCCAGTCTTATGTTACGTCCAATCAGCTGCTTCAGATTCTCCGGCAGATATTTCCAACAATCAGGGCGCTTGTTTGCTTCCGCGGGTGCAGCTCTTCGGTCAGAGTTCGGCTTTCCCGGCTCAGCTGGGCTGTTTTGATGAGGTCTTATTGGTCCCTGTTCTGTCCGATACAGCTGAGGAACCCGAATCTAGCCGGAAAAGGAATGAGTCAGTCTTCTCTTGCTGCTTCTCCTCTGCGCCGATTGGGGACAGCTGGAAATTATTCCCAGCCACTGGTGTCTACGGAGTAAGCCCTGTAGTCTTACTCTGTACGGAGAAGGTTGCTCGTAGAAGCCTATAACCGACTATTTAAACCTTATGTTGAACCTCAAATGGATAATGGACGGCATTACGGAGAACTACCGAGGAGTCACGCGCTATCTAACTCGAGCAATATCAAGAAAGCCTGGCACGATGGTATGCGTTTAATAGGATAGCTGTCTGCTATCTACCTAGCTATAGCAGTTGCACAGATCTACAGAGTACAGGATCCGGCAGTCTTGAACTTTGCTGTGACCATGATCGACTGACGTGATCCATCCAAAACCAAACCGTCGGTATCTCAAAGGAGTAGATGATGAACTGTGGGGCTCTAGGATCAAATCCGAGGCCGTGGCATTGTGTCTACTCTGTACTCTGGATTATGTGGATCCCACCTGGAAGTAATCAATACTTACTGATTGAGCAACAATGCGAGTGTGTGCTTCTTGTACGCGCAATCGCCGGCGACTGGCCCCTTGCTCACACGACATTTACTAGCTTGACGATCATCGATTTCGGTCAATCAGAAGGTTAGTCGGTTCGTCCTACTGGATTTGTCAAGGATGACCATCTGCACTACTACCTCGGTTAACTCTGAATGTCTCAAGGAATTTGTTTCCGCCACTCTAAGACTGTAGTCATGTACAAGGTAGTCATGTACATAGTCATGTAGATAAGGATCTACTCGTTCTAACGTTTAAAGCGGCGTATGTTCATCGTAGCGTCGGACATTCCGGATTAGGAAGGAGGCAGGTCTACCACTAGTTCCAATCTGGTTAGTGCTCTTCTTATACTATGTAGAGTCAAGAAATTGAGCATGTTACTCCTTTTCGACTACTCTGTATCCACATAAGAATCCATCGTTGGATGCCTCAATGCGAGCAACAACACACTAGCAGAGAACAGAGGACAATCACTACCAGTGATCAGGCCAAGATCTGCA